TACTTCACAGTTAGGGCGGCTAGGAGCTGGAACCAACTTCCAAGGGAAGTGGTGCTGGCCCCTACCCTGGGGGTCTTTAAGAAGAGGCTGGATGCCTACCTGGCTGGACTCATTTGAGTCCCGTTTCTCTTTTTGGGGTTTTTTTGTTGTTCTCCCGCCCTGGCGGGGGGTCGGGCTAGAAGATCTACTAGGTCCCTTCCGACCCTTAATCTATGAATCTATGAATCTATGAATAGCGCAGTTTTTATACACTGCTTTAACACATGGTAAAATAGGCTACTGCGCATTAAAATACATGTGTAGACATGCCCAGATAAATGTAATTATGAGTTTGATATGAATTAGACTTTTGTATAGATAGATCACACTGTCAGTCTGGGGTATATCTCAGAAAAATACTTTAACTATTGAGGACTTCAAAATCAGTTATTTTATTTCTTTTTCATCCCACTTCTATGTATTTCCTTATTTCACGTGAAAGAGGATACATGCAAACTCAATTAAAAGCAAGTAACTCTTTTAAGAAAAAAGTTAAATATTATATAGAATATAAAATATTCCCTACCCATCATGTAACATGGGGATAATAATACTTGTTTCCTGTATAAAGCACTGAGTGATGGATAAAAATATATAAGAACATGGTGCTTGATTCAGTCGGTGGTACAGATATCCTATTGATTTCATCCCAAAAGGCCAGTGCACAGATATTAAATTTGATTGCATATTCTGTAGTTATACAGGCTTATTTAGATCCTACATGAAAAGCACCGGTAGTGCCAGGCCAAAGTCTAACTGGAAGTCCCCACCTGTGTAAATCTGTAGGCAGTGTAGTTTAAACTGTTATTTATTAAGTTGCTGACTCAGAAGTCACTGCTAACGCATATTCTTTGCTTTCTCTTTCTACAATAATTTTGATACAGACTGAGCTGTGCTGTGCTATCCACAATCTGGATGTTCTGCATGCATGGTAAAGATCAAGGGGTAACCCAAACCACTAGACTAGCCTCGTATCTCCATTTTTTATAGTAGTACTGGTTATTTCTGAAGGACTATGTTTTCTGAGCAGTTTTGAGCAAACACTACCCTAGAACTTTCCTCTCCATTTAATTTTTATTTGCTTTTAAGGTGTTTCCTGAAACCGTTTACGTGTAACAATCCACTTTCTTCTGGAACCGGATGTAACTTCCTATTTCTGTGTGCGAAAAGTGTGGTCGTCATCACTTGAAATATGACCTGCTTAATTAAAACTACAGTTGCATTTCTGGAGAATTTGACATGGTAGCCAAGGCACTCTCTCAATCTGTAAATGGATATATTTAAAATATTCAGATGTTAGGAATTATAAATGTATCTGTTCTGAAGAAAGAAATTATAAAAAAGAAAACAAAAACCAAATGCAGGATTATGATACAATTGTAAATATAAAATACGTTAAAATGATTTTTGATTTTGCTTTTTAAAGTTGAATGACATACATTCAATTAGCCACTTTTAAACTGTTGCAAGCAACACCAGTGGTTTTCTGAGGATATCAAGATCACTGCTGACAAGACTTAATAATGGAGTCCATTGAACATCTGGTAGAGCTAAACATGATTCAGCAGGCGAAGAAGAGAAAACTGTCAAAGATGAAAACTCTATCTCTTTATCAACTGCCTAGGAAACATAAAGGAGAAATTTCCCAATGGGAAGGTAAGTTGCAACCTGGGGATATTTGCCAAAAACTCTAAATGTCATATATATGTCTAACATGGAAGTAAGTGAAGAAAAACATAGTGTAGCTTCTTATTGAATACAAGGGGTAACAGAAAGATGTAGTTATCTTAGTAGTACTCCCTGTTTAGAACCCAGATCTCCATTTTATTTTTCTACCTATCCATTCATCTTAGTACTTTTGCTTCTCTGTGTGTTCTCTATCATTATATTATCTGTGACACCTTCTTGGAAGGAAGTTTCAGATCAAGAAATGCAGGATTTTGTCCATATCAAAATGAAATCTAGATTTTTCTTAAACATGTTAATAACAAAATGATTTTACACCTGTTATCCTCACTGGGATTTCACAATGGTACTCTCCTGGTTTTTTTCCTTCCTCTCTTTCTATCATTATCTCACTTGTCTCCTTTTGCATGCCATCTACAGGCATCCCCAGAGTTATATCTCCTCTTTCTGCTTTACACCCTTTCTTGGACAATCACTATAGTACTTGGGCATTCGCAGAACCTGCAGTACTGAGGGAGTCTTTCACTTGCTGAAACATCATTTACCAAGCAGATATTAGTCATTCCACAGCTGTGTGTACAGTTTGTCCTCTGTACAGGATCTAAACAAATAATAGGGAGATAATATTTGGGGTTCCATTCTGTGTTGCAGGATAAGGAGCCCAGATATTTTTTATAACC